AAAAAAAAAAAAAAAAAGAGAAAATATGGTGAATTCATCCAAGTGTTTTCTATGTCGCTTGTTTTCATTTGGATTTCGGATATTGGAGCCTATCCAAGCTGGGTTTGGACAAGAGGCTGCCAGTCACTCACAAGAGACAAGACAAACTTCTATTCACACGCGCATTCAAATTTATGGAAAATTTTGAGTCTTAATTGAACTTAACATTTAATATTTTGGAATCTGTTTGGAAAACAGACTCTCAAGGATGCTTTGCAAAAAGACACAGATTATACAGCACTAAATAGATAGAAGGTGAGTTTAAAAAGTGTATACAGTATTTGCCAAAGAGGAAGCCAAAATATTTATCCCCTCCAAAAAATATATATTTTTGAATATCAGTTACAAATTCCGTTTGAATGTAGAATAATTTAATTCCCTCTAGTATAGCTTTGTCTTGCAGATTTTTTTTCGAACACTGACTATTAATATCCAAATATAAAAATGTAGTTTAAAAACGTTTCAGCGAGTTATCTTACAAAAGTGGGCCAACATGCAGTAGATGGTAGGTCAGGCTGTGAAGAATTAAAAATAGACAGAGCTCGCTAACTGAGTCATCTGACTGCCTCTGAGATAAATGCGCATCAGAGTTCATCAGCAAACAAGCTGCTCGCTATCTCTCTGTTTCTCTTTGCATTTGGGTGTATAATTTGCTTGCATCTTTAACATTACTTTAAAATACTATATTTATTGTTAATACTTCCTCAAATAGAAACCTCGACTGAAATAAATAGACACTGTGTGTGTCGTCCAATTGGAAATACCGAAGACACACTCAAAATCTTTACAAGAGTGTGAACCACTACCAAAGCTTAGCAATGGACCACTACAAAATTCTAAAATGGAAAAATCTGAAAAAGCAAAAGGATGTCGAAGATTTTTAATCATCCCATGCATGCACATCCCAAGACAGAAATTAGTGGAAATTCGTGATGTTGTTACTGCGGAAACCTGCTAACAAACAAGCAAACGGCCTTGCAAACATCTCCTGAGGGGGAACTCATAAACACCTTTTATACTGCCTGTTGAAGATGGAATTTTTCTCCCTGTTGTATAAAAAAAAAAAAAAAAGGAAAAAAAGTATGTCTAATTGTCTTCTGTTATAGCTTTGTGACTGTGTCCCTGTGAAAAATGTCACCATCCTCTTGTCCAGGTGAGACAGGTCTGGGCAAGTCCACCCTGATGGACACGCTGTTCAACACCAAGTTTGAGGGAGAGCCCACCCAGCACAATCAGCCCGGCGTGACGCTCAAATCCAACACCTATGAACTGCAGGAGAGCAACGTGCGCCTCAAGCTCACTGTCGTCAACACGGTGGGCTTTGGAGACCAGATTAACAAAGAAGACAGGTGTGTTCCTTGCAGATATAATAAAACAGGACTAGGTCTACACATTGAACCCCAGCTATTCGCGTGTGAGGCATAGGGACCATGCTATGCTGAGAATAGCGAAAATCTGCAACGTATTGTTCCCCCAACTGAAAGCAGGTTTGTGTAATTGCATTTAGAAGCCACTAGATGGTGGCGGAGCACTTACAAACGATCATAAAGCATCAACACCATGCATTTAGCATATATATCATAATTCCATGTTACATAAGTCACTGTATTCATTAGTTAAATTGCTCCAAAAAAAGCAAACCCCCTTCCTATGAGGCTCATCAATAGTATTATCTAGCCTACTATACCATAAACAACATGCTAGCACAAGCTTACATGACATAAAATTGGGCAAGAAAATATTCGCACTCTCACTGTCACATGAATAGTATTAACGTACCTTTTAATATTTACATTTAATAAATGTTAGTGGGTGCAGGCAAATTTGTAGCTGCTAAGTAGACTGCGCTAGCGAGTAGTGGCTTCCTCTGGAGAGAAACAGAAACATACTTCACTTTTGACTGTACACATGGATGTATTTAAAGATGACCAACAAAACTGGACATCTCAAATGCAGATGAAAAAAAAAGCGACTAGTTGAATTGTCAGTGAAAGACTTGATAGGTTCCCAAAGAAATCTGCAAATTCACAAATGCTGACCTGCAACTATTTAGGGGTTGACTTTGCATCTATTAACCATCTCTGTGTTTCCCTGCCAGCTACAAGTCCATTGTGGAATTCATCGATGCCCAGTTTGAAGCATACCTCCAAGAGGAGCTGAAGATAAAGCGCACACTCCACAGCTACCACGACACGCGCATCCATGCCTGCCTCTACTTCATTGCTCCCACGGGCCACTCACTCAAATCCCTCGACCTGGTGACCATGAAGAAGCTTGACAGCAAGGTAAATGCCACGTTCATCTCGGTCACCTTAATGCATGAGTAGTAGAATGTGGTTAGTTGATGTGACCGATTATTTCACCTTTCACCCTAATTCCATTTCACTTCAGGGACTCTTATGCAAGAAGCGTATCTGTGTCACAGCAGCAGAATAAATAAAAAGCAGTAGAATTGTAACTTCAACTGCACGACAGATGATAAAAGTGAAGTAAGGACGATATAGCTAGTTAAGGTTAACTATGTAAAAAATATGAATTAATAATGTAATGAAAATAATTTAAATATTTGAAAATAAATAAAATATTTTTCGCAACACAGACAAAAATATGCATCTGCAATATAGTCCGACTACGTACAAGGTGAATCACGATCTAGCCGGGGATTACTGCTTGATTAAATTTGAATCCCTTGTTTTATGGTACTACTATAACTGTTTGTCAAAGCTTATCTTCCATGTAGAACATGGCTGGAAGGATGTAGCACATCACGATTCACCAACCTTTAGGGAAGCCCTCTGCCTGTATGTATATCATCCCAAGTGAATTATCAGTGTGACTTATCTGAAAAATGCAATCAATTCTGTGGCTGCTCCTGCATTTGTGCGACATGCTCTTCTCTGTGGGCTCATTTGCATGGACCCCACGAGCCATCCAACCACCGTTTGCCAGAGCAGCTGCACCCCCACGTCAAACACTCACAATGATGTGCAGCTGCCTTGTTATTTTACATTTAACCTCTGAACGCACACTTCATGAACCAGGGGATGTTACTTTGAAGGTTCACCGTCTGATAGCAAAAAAGCATCCCAGAAAGGAGGCACGTTGATGGGAAAGTCATGTTTTTACATCGCCTACCGTCCGGCTGCTGACTCAACGTGTGTCCATAATGGTAGCACTTGCTTCCAATTTTATGACGTTATATCTTTTTGATTCATTGTCATTTAATATTAGCAAGTCACATTTTTACTTTAGCGAGAAACAAAATCAGATCTATTTGGATGCAGCTCTCAGTGTTGCCCCCTTCTACCGATGTTATAGTAGCTTCTGTCTTCTTCTCTCAACCCCAAGGTCAACATCATCCCAATCGTTGCCAAGTCGGATGCCATCTCCAAGAGTGAGCTGGCCAAGTTCAAAATCAAAATCACCAGTGAGCTAGTCAGCAACGGTGTGCAGATCTACCAGTTCCCCACCGACGACGAGTCAGTTGCAGAGATCAACTCCACCATGAACGTAAGCCGCACAAAGTTTAGAACGTGGAGATTGGATGTCTGTGACCACTTTAGCTGTCAGTGAGCCGCCCCATATGTCGTTGTCACTACAGACTGTCAGACAGCTCAGAGCTGACAGTGTGGGAAAATGGGCTTGTCTTTCTCACATTGAGTCAAAAATACCTAAAAGAACAGCATGAGTGTGCAAGGAGGAACACAATCAGTTCGGGGAAATAGACAATTATCTTGCTTTTTTTTTTTTTTTTTTTTTGACAAAGATATCCCACGATGATGCCACGATGATATGAATGTAAATCAGCAGTGGTACAAATCATGTATCCATCCATTTTCAACTCTGCTGATGCTGAACAGGGTCACGGGGGTGGTGCTGGAGCCTATCCCAGCTAATTTTGGGCAGAAGGCGGACTATGCCCTGATCTGGTCGCCAGTCAGTTATAGGGTACATATAGAGACGAATAACCATTCACACCCGCAGCCACACCGTCACCGAGTGGGAACCGATCCAACGGTGCCCACTCGTAACTCAGGAGAGTGTACCAATACGCCATCAGCAGCTCAAATCAAATAAAGAACAAAAATATTTTATTTTGAGTTGATTAAGAAAATTTTTAAAATAGGATATTTTTGATCCGATTCTGATCAGCTGAAATTTACATGATCGGCCCCGATTTCTGATTATGTCGATTGGATCAGGACAACCCTAGATTTAGGTAAGATGTTCACAATTAATGCCGCTTCTAGATCGATGGCCTTTTACACGCTGTCATCTGACAGAACGACTGAAGATGGACATATAGCTCTCATACTGTCCCAGAAGGCTCAAAAGGAAAATTGCTGTGTTGAATGTTTCCCCCTCGTTCATCAGAATAGTGACATGGAAAAAATGCGTAAAATGCCTACTTTCATCGGCAGTGTGAAAAGGGTTCTTGAGCGAGCATTGTTATTTCATCTTTTCCAGATTGTGCTGTATACTTGGCATGGCGCTGGTTGTTGCAACTCTCTGTTGGTGTTTTTTCCATGTGGTGATTTTGTGTGGAAACAAAAGATTATTTAGAATCACCAGTGTACACGTGGACATTTCCTCAAAGCAGACGTCTTATCTAGTCACACGGAAATGTGTTGTTTATATAGTCAACTTTGTTTGGGTTATTCACTGTTCTCTTGTGATAAGGAAGCCGGCAGTGGACCAATGCTCATGTCTCATTTAACTCCACAGAGCCATTTACCCTTTGCCGTAGTGGGCAGCACGGAGGAGGTGAAGATCGGGAACAAGATGGTCAAGGCCCGCCAGTATCCCTGGGGCACGGTGCAGGGTAAGTCAGCTTCTCTTCCTGCCTCGCCGGAAATGTCAGCATGCGCCGTGCCATTCGTCTGTGCCGCCCTTTTCCTCCTACGGCCTCCACAGCCTCATTCAGCATGTTGAGCTGTTACAGCACATGACACTAATGGACGGGACTTTCAATTGATTTGAATTGACTTGTTGAGCAAGCCATAACAATGAGTTGCTAGCACCCAGTAGCCACACTAGTTTATGAGCCCTTTGAAACATGTGAAATTTCAGACTAAGTTCATGTTTCAAGCATTAATTCGGAGGTCTTCCTTCTTTTTAAAACATCCACCCCCTTGAGCAGCCTGACAGCTTGACACGTCAACCTCCAGAAAGCCAAAACCCAACCTATTTACGGTCAATAAAGGTGCCATGTGGAAACAATAGCCTTAATATTATTGTTTTTATGTCAATTAAACATGAGTTCCACCTTTTAATTTCCTAAAAAAAAATTCACCAGGTTAGGCTTGTTCAACATTCTTTTACGTAGGCCTCCAGGGTAAATAATGCTCCATTTCCTGCACCAATTGCCTAAAGAGGTGTCAAAACCCTTTTAAAAGCTGCAAGTCATGTGTTTCACTCCTTTCACTATAGTACAATGTGATAAAAATTAAACTTGTATGGTTGAATGTTTGCAGCCAGCGGCTTTTTGTGACAATGAGTCATGTGTTTTGCATGCATATGTACTGACATGGTTTCACACACTAGCTTGGTCAACAGAAATAGAATTTGATATGGTCTCTGTCCAATTCTTAATGTTCTGTTTATTCGGCACGTCTCCCACAGTGGAGAACGAGAATCACTGCGACTTTGTCAAACTGCGAGAAATGCTGATCCGAGTGAACATGGAGGACCTGCGGGAGCAGACGCATACGCGCCACTACGAGCTGTACCGCCGCTGCAAGTTGGAGGAGATGGGCTTCAAGGACACTGACCCTGACAGCAAGCCCTTCAGGTACCAGACACAAGGCTCCTTTTTGTCCCCCCTCCCCATCTCGAGTCAAGGCCTTCATCATCAACTCTCATCTCTTTTTCGCTCTGCTAGTCTTCAGGAGACGTATGAAGCAAAGAGGAACGAGTTCATGGGCGAGCTACAAAAGAAGGAAGAAGAAATGCGGCAAATGTTCGTCCAAAGGGTCAAAGAGAAGGAGGCGGAGCTTAAGGAAGCAGAGAAAGAGGTTGGCATGGTTAACCCGCTGCCACAGCCGTGTCACAAGACTCATCTCACAGTTTTATTATCCTTTTATTCCACACGTCATTTGTCTCCGCCTCACAAAGCTGCACGAGAAATTTGACCGCTTGAAGAAACTGCACCAGGATGAGAAGAAGAAGCTGGAGGACAAGAAGAAGTCCCTGGACGACGAGCTCAACACGTTCAAACAGAAAAAGACTGCCACTGAGCTCTTGCAGAATCAAGCCCAGCAGGCCGGGGGCTCCACCACGCTCAAGCGGGACAAAGAGAAGAAGAAGTAAGTGTCTCCATCCTAACATCACAACTTGAAATGTATTGAAATTCAACTTAAAGGTGTTCAATAGAGTTGAGGTCAGGGGCTTGATGTTGCTTCATGCACTGCAAACAGCAAAGGGCTTTCCCAAAAATTATAAACAGTAGGAAAACGAATGCAATGTTTTCAGATTCTGGGCCAACTAAGGAGTCTCACCAAGACAACTGATAAATCGATTGATTGATAAATGTGTGTCCATACATTTGTCCATGTTGACTCTTAATATTGTTCGCGATTGTCCAATTTACTAGGGTTTAATTTTAATGAGCCCCTCTTATGCCACCAAGTCCTCAGTGTGATTTTTTTTTTTTTCAGCTCATGAACAAAAAGCCTGGGATTTGTTCAATTTTAATCAACACTGTGGATTTTTCACTGTGCCAAATGCCTTCTGAAGCTTTTATGTTATGAGTGCATTTATTCCCAAATCAACAAAGGTGACTTGCTCTGAATACCTCGTCACAATAAATTTTGCTCATATCCCAACATACATCATGAGTTTAACTACTTCTACTTGACTTTTGCAAGCAGGTACTGATTGTCAACTCAGTGGGTTTAAAAAAAAATCCCCTGTGAGGTTCATTAAAATATGTTTTTTGTTATATTTTCTTAGAGGTGGGCAAATGAACCAGTGATGCTAATGTGAATGCTGTGTGTGCTGGTGTGTGTGCCGGTGCGTGTGTATGTGTTCGCAAAGAATGAACACAACTTGCATTCAACTTCTCTTCCTAAGTATCAGCAGGAATTTTAACCTTCCTTAACACTGCTGTTAATAACTCAATTTTAAAATTTGCACGACCACCAATTTTTATTTGTACAGTGAAACCTCTAAAGTTACAATAGATGCCCCTGAGTTCATGCTAAATAATTGTCAAGAATTGACCGATTGTTTGAACTTGACAAATAAATCCTACAATTGTTGAATTCAGATTCAGGTAAAGATGCCGCCAAAGGCACCACAAAACATCAAGCTCAAAGGCATCATGCCATACAACGGAGAATATCTATTTACAACCCAGGACTAGTTGGCCGTCAATCACATAACCACCAATCATTTACACTCACATTCACACAATGGACAATTTAGATTCTTTAATTAATGTAATGTATGTTTTTGAAAGGTGAGAGGGAGCTGAATTAGATCTGAGAATCAAACCCAGAACCTTAGAACTGTGAGGCAGACGTGCTAACTCCAATTTCCTCCCAGTTTTTTTTTTTTTTTCAAAATCCAAACAAAACACGTCCCGAAATGGGTTGCATTCAGCCTTAGATGTTTTTCTGTACATACAATTTGTGTTCTGGTTCATCACTTCCTACAGGACACAGTTACAGAGCGCTGCTTGTAGTGTGGATGTCAAAGTGTAAGTGCATGTATCACCCATGTTGCATCCGTCATATTTTCCAGTTAACTGCTCCTACACTTGATGCATGCTGCTTGATGCACCCTGTTCTGGTAAGACCTGACTCGGCATCCCACAATTTAATCAAACACCAACTTGCCACAACAGCTGTTTATGTAAATTGACAGTGTTTATCGCTCACGTGCCAGCTACTAAATCAGACAGTTATCATCACTTTGTTGCATCTGTCCTCCTCGGATACACACAAGTCTCCTTTTTGTGGAGAAGCCATTCTCTGAATGCCCCTGCCTTTCACACAGAGCCCTTCGAAAGGGTCATGCCAGAACAGCGAGCAGCCTCAGGGCCCAACTGTGTTTTGTTGGGATCTTTTGCCCCCCCCCCCCCACACACACACACACACACACACACACACACGCCCCGTATGCCGATACTGGTTCAAGGGACATTTGGTTCCAGGCTGCATTGAAAAACAGAATCAAATATATTTTGACCATAAGAGCCTGCATATGTAACACCTTGGCTCGATCACATGATTGCAACAGTCGTACTTAAAATACGTTGTTTATCACTACAAGGGTTTCTCACATATTGCATAAGATGTGGTTACATGCTTGCAAATGCGACAATGAAATCTTCACAACTGCTTTGGCATGTGGACCTACTAATTACAACAAATTCATTCAGTGTAGGGCGGCACAGTGGGCGACTGGTTAGCACGTACGCCTCACGGTGCAGAGGTGTAGGGTTCGATTCCGGCTCCGGCCTTCCTGTGTAGAGTTTTCATGTTCTCCCTGTGCCTGCGTGGGTTTTCGCCTGTTACTCCGCTTTCCTTCCACATTCCAAAAACATGCATGGCAGGTTGATTGGGCGCTCCAAATTGTCCCGAGGGGTGATTGTGAGCGCGGATAGTTGTTCGTGTACGTGTGCCCTGTGATTGTCTCGAAACCAGTTCAGGGTGTAATGTGCCTACTGCCCAAAGACAGCTGGGATAGGCTCCAGCAGGATAAGCAGATTGGAAAATGGATGGATGGACATTCAGTGTAATTGCTTTTTTAATAATTTGTTTTTATTTGCTTTTGTGCCGTTTGTCAGAAAAATGCTTTATGTGAAACTAGTCGGTGGGGCAAAATGTTTGGGGACCTGTGCTGTAGGCTACTCTCGAGGAGCACACAAAACGGGTCCAAAATTAGATCTCACGCTTTAGATCGCCGCTAATTGTGAGCCGGCCATCAATTATGCTGATGCAGATTTTTTTTGTATGGAACAAAACAGTAACGGCCCTTCTCTCTTATTTCCAGAGAAGGATTCCTGTAGAAAAGTGCTCCCTTGTGGCCACCCAGCTGTGAATGATCGTCCCTTACAGTGAACCCCTCCCCAATGTCCCTACAACCCCACAAAATGCCCTCAAACCTGGGCGTTGCTCAGTTGGACTCCTTTTTAAACACACCATTCTAATTATGATGTTTATTCTTTGTATACAAGATACATTCCACGCTTCTCTATTTTTCTATGTAGTGTCTTTCTTGCATGGCGTGTGTAGTGCGCTTTTTATTTTCCATATTAACACACAACATGACCTTGTTGTGATGGGCAGAAATGTGCCAAAGCTCAAGCGAAACACACTCGTGAAAGCTTCATTTTTAAACATAACTGTGCGGAAATTAGTGACTATTTGATTATTTTTTTATTTGGGGGGTGGGGTTAATTATCAGTACATGGAAGTGTGGTAGTATTTGAAAAGTGCCATTGCAATTACAATTAGGCAATATCATTAAATTGCTTTAATGATGTACAACATATGATGATTAGGGCCAAACTGAAAAGGGAAACAATGTAAAATTAAGGGGGGGTAATAGTCATAGGCCTTGCAAATAGTCGGAATGTTGCAAGAGAAAAAGCTGTAGTTTACAAGAAAGACAAGAAAAGAATGCATATGAGGAACAAAAAAGTCATGATTCTAAGACAACAAAGTGGTAATTTTGCAAGAACATAAGTTGCAATATAACAAGAAAATAGTAGTGGTTTGGCTGCAATAAGATTAGTATCGTATGAGAAAAGTTGTAATCTTACCGGAAGAAAATTGTGATGTTCAGGCATACAAAGTAGCATAGTTTGTATGCAGCACTTCTTACAGAATATTCCAATGTCAATTTTAAAGTAAGATTAGATTTTTCTTGAACAATTTGAACTTTTTGTATCATTAAGACTTTTTGTCTCCTCACTTTTATGCAACTTTGTTGTGAAACGTGGTTCTGGTTAATATTGTACTTGTACTGTAATACTATTACTACTTTAGCTCCTTGCAGATTACCAATTTATTCTCATAAAATGCCATCCTTTTCCTTATTGGATCTCAGTTTTCTTGTAAAATGACTACTTTCCCTCGAATTTCAATTTAGTTTTCTAAAAAATTTTATTTTTTTCTCATTAATTCCGCTTTGTATTGGTTAGCTAAAGAATAATACAGTAGAGGTATGATTAGGCAGTTTCCCTCTGCTTTAAGTTTGTCACGGTCTGTACATCTTGTTCGTTCACTCTCGTCTAACCAAAGCACCAAAGGCTTTCCTTGGAAAAAGTAGTTATTGTTCAAATCCCACTCGGTGCTTAAAGACAACTAGCAGGTGAGCTATGAAAGCTTCTAAACCTACTATTAGACTTTGCAGCGTCATCCTGAGTCAAAATGTGCCATAAGAGACTGAAGCAGTAATCTCAGACACATACTGTACACAATGAGTGTTTCGCTTGGACTTCTATCTTTGCCACTTCTCCCCATACCTCATTGACGGTCATGTGTTTTATACCTTTTCTATTGTATTAGCTGTCACATTTGCACTTTTGTTTTTTTTTTTATACACAAATGTGATGAAATTTGTATGTATGTTGTCAGTGCAATTGATACTTTTTTTTTGTTTGTTTCTGCGAGTTTTTATAATGGCACATTTTAAAAGTCAGTGGTCATGTTTGTACTCCCCCAAGTTGTTTGTCTACAGAGGAAATAAAGGCAGTTCTCACCATGTTAGGACATAATTTGTTTATGTATATGATCATTTACAAATGATTTCTCTCAAGACCAGAGACCTTCCATGTTCCTCAGTTTACTAGTTTGTGTGTATTTCCTTTGCAGTTCTCCCTGGCTCTGCACTGAGTAGGTCCCCATCTCTAAGGGACCTTCCTCAAACGCCACCAATTTTGTGGGACCTCATCTTTCTAGGTTTTTTTAATACTGTGTACTGATTTATTTTTTACTTCACTGTTCTTTTAATTCCCTCTTTGCTACCACTTGGACTCTTCTTCCACTTAAGACGAGATGGTTATTTCCATGCTTTCACATTAGATTTTTTCCCTTCATTTAGGAATAGCAAAACGTTGAACTATATTCACTCATTGTCATTTTCTGCCACATTTGGAATTTGAATGCATTCTAACCAAACTCTTTCCCTGATACCAGATACATCTCTGTTTTACTGACATCTACATCTTTGTCTTTCTCTTTGTAGCTTCTTTTAATGTCTTGACCATCTGAAGAAGGCGATGGCAGCTTCATCAACAACTAAGCACCCTTTAACTCTTCTGTTCTTCTGCTCCCCCTGCTGCTGTATTGACTTTTTTCCCCTTTCTCTCCTATCACATCACCTCATTTTTGTCAAACATGGGCTTATGTAGACTCGCATGGTATCCCTGCCCCACCTTGTGACACTCTGAACCAGGTGTTGGGGACCTACAGCTCCTGCTGAGGAATTGCAATTAAAAAGATCCAACCATTTAAACCCCAAAAATGCTCACAGCAAATATTTAACAAATAATTGACAAAGTTCCCCACTTCTGACCTTAAACACAGGCCGGCAGGGCAGGGTCGACAATTTATGTGTACTCGTCTTAATGTTAAATGAAAGGCCTCTGCGAATCACGGGAGGAGCGGGACATGTTAACTAAAACATGACCTAAAAAGTGTAGGCGTACACTGATATTTAAAAAAAAAAAATATATATATATATATATATATAATATCACCAAATTGAAGTAATCACTTTGCCAAAGCGATATCAAAACATGAGCACTTTTGATGGTGCCCATGTTTACATGCCACTGAATGCCATTGTGGTCACATGTAATGGCCTTTTTGACACATGCTTTAATATTCACCAGCCTTCTGTATTCCATATTTCGCATGCATTTATAAAATCATTTCTTTACCGCTGTGACCTGCTTGTTTTCCATCCCCAAAATAACTTTTCCTGTTTCCTCAAAATGGTGCAAATCATGAGGATGAATTTGTTAAATTCTATCATTACAGCTCCTTTATGTTGCCAAATATTACGATAACTTGGAGTTGAAGTGAACCCCGATGGGAGTATTAAAAAAAAAAAAAAAAAAAAAACAAAGAATGCCCATGCATTTATATAATTTATAAGGATATATTTTGTGTATTGAAGTGCATTGAAGACTTGTTGTTTATGACCTATGCTCTTGGGTGGTGCAAAGTAACATTTTTGGTGTCAGAAGAAAACATTTTCTAGTATCCGTACATCATGTCAGAAACCCTCGACCACTCGAGCTATAATTCAATATCTTGCTAAGTTTAATTCCATTGATGTACATTTTCAATAAAAAAATGAACCAATAATGTTGCTTTTTTGTCATTATTTAACAATATTTACTTGCTCGTATATGCTGTTACATTCAGTTTGATTTGGGGATTAAAATCTAATTGACAAAATTTGGAGTACATTTTAATAATGTAGTTGTAACTGAGTTAATAAAATAAATAATAAAAGAAATTACTAAACAAAGCATTGATTACTGTTGCAATACAGTACTGTACTGTGTACTGTAGTGTTGTGCTTGTCGCAAAGCATCGTGGGTACTGTGTCGTACTGTGATGACGCCATGACAGATTTAAGCTAGCGGGAGCAGAAAATGGATGGTCCTTGTCCGCGTAGCCGACTCTACATGCTTTGCGAGACGCACTTTCCTGAGGGACTCTGACCTGAAATGTCCCTATTTTCTTTGAAGACAATTTAAAACATCAATGAACCGGTTGTCCGGTTTTAATTCTGCTACATAGCCAGTAAGTTGTACTCGCAAACATCAGTTAGCCGACAGAGGCTAACACGACGCCTAATATTTCTGTAGTCATCACTACAAAAGAGCGGCTGAGTCGATAGGGGCTCTTTGCAGAGAAAGGTAAGAGGACAACAAACGTGACTGCTCACACACGCACACAATGCAATTTTGAAACGAAGCCGTGGGATGTAACGCTGACGGATAGCGATATCGGCCTTCAGCTTCGGTCGGTCATTTAAATGCATACAGCGGCCTCACGAAAAACAATCATATTTGCTTCAAATCAGTCCCAAAGTATTTAAATTTGCTGCAACTTAGTGTGGAACGTATTCCTCTCATCTTTATGCTTACTGTACTTTATGCTTACTAACGTTGCTGCCCATCCGTAATGCGCATCTATCTATCTATCTATCTATTTATCTATCTATCTATTTATCTATCTATCTATCTCTATGTGTGTGTACAGCAGACCATTGTGTAAAACAATTAAATGAAAAACAGTAAGGAGGTGCTTCTTACACAGCCTGCTGTATTTTCACACCATCGTGTTGTCTTTCACTAATCAGCGCTAATGTAGTAGTCAAGTCACAATTACCGGTACAGTAAATCTGGGAATCACTTGTCCACCATAAATGTAAAACAATCAAATGAAAACTAGCAAGTACGTCCGTAACTGAGCGTGCCTCCCTGCACTGTGTGACAACATAGTCCTACGCTACTGTTCAAAGTAGTGAACTGCATGCCATTCATAACCTTGAAATGTTGTAAGATAAAATATATATCTGAATGGAACACACTTTTAGGCCATAAATGTAATCTACTGAAATGGAAAAACAGTAAATATGGCAGTAACTGTGTGTGCTGTGACCGTTGTGGCCCTTATGACGATGTTCTTATACTGCTGCACAAACTAATACATTGCACACCATTCGTAATCTGAAAATAGAATTACTGTAAATGTATCTATATAAAACACCTTTAGGGCAGCAGTAAGAAACGATGAAATGGAAAACTACTAGGTATGGTAGTAAGTGAACATTCCTGTCTTACGCTGTGTGACAATTTATTCTTACACTGCTGCGCAATCTACATGGTTCATTGTTGTCCTTTGTAAGGCCCAAAACTGTATACAATAAATCAGGATCATTTATACAGAATGAACAGCACTTTACAAAGTAATTCTTTGACCTGTATTGAATTGCCATGGTCCTTAGTTGTTAATGTCATGTTTTTGCCATCTTTGGTGTTCTGAACAGGCATGGCCTGGTTTTGATTGGAAGCTGCAGGCTGCAGGTGATGGCAGAAGGCAGCGGTGCAGACGAAATGCACTCCTTTGACCCGTGTCATAGCTCTGAAGCAAAAAAGAGACATATTTCTACTAATGGCGGTGAGTGTCATTCAGTTGAATTGAAAAATGGTTGAAAGGAGACATGTTTTAGAAAATAGACTTCCATAGTTCATTCACAATTTGTTTTTAACAGTGCCTGCTCACCAATTAAATATTGTGTGAACCTCCCAGAGCCGCCATATTCAGATGGACTACGCAGCAGTATGGTCATGTCAAATCCAAAAGCTAAGTGGAGCAGCGCAGATTAGCATTGGCAAACATTATTAGTGTTAGCTTCTAATAAGCAGGACAATAACTTGACAAAAGTAAAACTGTAAATAGTCACCAGAAGTGACGAACAACTTCAGCAGAACACCCCTACCCCAAAAATGAGGCGATCTGCTGAATTGGGCTGATGTACTGCTACTAAAATACACTACTCACAAAAAGTTAGGGATATTTGGCTTTCGGGTGAAATTTATGGAAAATGTAAAAAAAATCATTTAATTAATAATGTTATTTAGGTAGTATGGTATTGTCACTGTAATATTCACAAAGTATATAGGGCAGGTCTGTTCCGACTGGACACACCTGCCCACACTGTAACACCACCACCACCAACAGCTCGTCTGCTGACAACAGAGACTGATGCATAGCGCTCTGCTTGATGTCTCCAACATCGTTGGTGGCCATCATTTCTGCTCAACGTGAATTGACTTTAATCAGAACAGCACTGAGGCCCACTGGTCCTTCGTCCAGCGTAAACTCTCCCTGGCCCATGTAAGACGCTGACGCATCTTCCCGATGTTGCGGTCAGGTACCCTTGCAGGTGCTCTAGTACTCAGACCACGCTGATGTAAACTGTTTTCAATGGTCTGACGTGACACTTGGGTGCCTCTCACCTCCCTTAAACGTCCCTGGAGTTGAGTGGCATTCATCATTCGGTTTCCCAAGGCGTTCTTCACAATATAGCGGTCATCAGCATGGGCTGTGGCCAAAGGACGTCGACTTCTACATCTTTCTGTGACTCTTCCAGTCTCTCTGTATCATTGTTGCAACTGCTGATGACACTCTAAGCTCTGTGGCCCGGCTGAGAACGTCCTGTTTGAAGCATCACAGTGGTAAGGTACTGTTAATCCATTGTTAGGTGTCCTCTTTGTCTCGTGATGTCAATATGTGAACAGCATGATGAGGGCGACTGTTTAAACACCAGCTCTTATTGAACCAGGATATTTATTGTTGAGCCAAAGATCAAACACCTGTTGTGAATTTTGCCATTAAGGTCCTCGTTGAAGAATAGCAATTGTGCAAAAAGTACTAAAACATTTAACAGTTGGACATATGCATTCAAAAACTTAGAGGTGATATTGAGTTCACCTGTGAAGGTTTGAATGCATTTTGGGCTTGTCCTGAAATTTCACCCAAAAACCAAATATCCCTAACTTTTTGTGAGTAGTGTATGTACTATTGTTTCATTTTTGATGGTGAGCTATGGCAGTACTTTTCTATGTATTTACCGTATTAACAAGTGTCACAATCCAATTGATATCCTCGCTACGTTTCTGTATCACATACTTACAGGAGAAGAGCCCATGAGCAAGATGGCCATGTCAAAGTTTGGTTCGCGGCCTCGATTTGAGCCCGTACAATTTGTTAGCGGTGGCAGCAGCAGCACTATTTGCACCGGTGGGGCAGCAAGTGGCGCTGATGAGAAGGAGAACGATAAGGAGCCCAGAAGGAGGGAGTCGTATGCTGGTCGATACAGGGAATATGAACAGGCTTCCTACAGTGCCACTGGCAGAGCACCGAGCACCTCCTCCCTCAGGCCTGCTTTTGACTCTTGGGCTTCCCGTAGAGATCGAGACCGGGACAGAAATCAGGTTCCTTCCTGCGGTCCAGTCAGCTTGGACTACGGTGGCCGAGGCTACTCATCAAACTTTATGGCTAAAGTACAACAAGCCTATACGAACAAGTATGAGACCTACAGCTCTCGCAACACAGATTTCTACTCGCAGCCTTATCGGCACAATGGATATGGAGGAGGGAATAGATCAGGCGGCTGGGACTGTGGACGTCAGGGTTTGGGGTACAGTCACCAGGATCGCCCTTATAACCGAGCGTACAGCGGCCCTGCCACCTCTCAGCCGGGGGCTTTGTCACAGCCTCTCCCTATCAACCAGGCCACGCTAGTGGAGAAGCAGAGGCTCGTCGCCAATTTGGCGTCCGCGTTGGCGGCCTCTTTTTGGGACCCTCAGTACACAACTGGGACAGAGGCTCCAAATTACAGTTTCATGTTGAGTCGCAGTATCCAGGCCTGCAAGACCAACCCTCAGTACATTTACGTCAACCTGAAGGATATCCCTCATGCCGATCTACCCAAGAACCGCAAAGTGCCGGCAGATGGCTATGCTTGTGAGCTGAGGTGTCAGGGAGTCTATCTCGCCACGGGATACTCGGGCAGTAAAAATGGCGCGAGGGACCGCGCCTCCGAGAATGCCGTCAAACTCTTCATGAAGCCCGTCGAAGTGCGCTTGGTGCCACGCAAGTACAGGCACACAATGCTCAATGACATTGTGGTGTGCCAGATGAACTGCCCCGCCCCCAGCTTAACGCCTGCTCTTTGGAACCCCGAGAACATTGGCTATCCCAGCTTTAAGGGACCCTATGAGCCTGACATGCGCAAGCACTGGACTGAGTTTGTAGTCATGGACAATGCCCAAGACGCCATCTGCATTCTCAACAATTCCGCCGCTTTCAGTCACATGAAGGTGGACTACAAGTTCGAGCTGCTGCCCAACGGCTCCTGGCTGTGCAGCGTCTACGTGCAGGATGAAATGGTGGCGCAGGCCAGTGGCACCAAGAAGAACTCAAAACACGCCGCGGCAGCAGAGGCCCTGGCGAAGCTGCGATTGAACCAGGCACAACGACAGCACCAACACCAAGGGCCCCAGTACGCCCGGCGAAATCAGCAGTCGGAGTTCTCCGGTGGGCAAATGGGCATGAGAAAGAAACATCTGAGCGAGCTGGTCATCTTGGAGAATTCCGATAACGCCGTGTGCATCATCAACGACACGGCTCAGTTCAACAAGGTGACAGCCGACTACAAGTTCATCTGTTTGCCTGATCATCGCTGGAGGTGCGAGGTGTACTTGGAAGGACAGTACGTGGCAGCAGGGGTGGGTGTCAAAAAGCAGGTGAAGCACATTGCGGCACAGGAGGCCTTAGACACCCTGAGACAGACGCAGGCCGTGGTCAAGTCCAACCTGAGGAAGGAGGGTCACAACGGGGCCATCTCACGCTCCCAAATCCTGCGTCGCTCCGGGGAGGAGGCCATGAAGCAGGAGATAAAGGAGGACAACATTGGGAACCAGCTGCTGCGCAAGATGGGCTGGACGGGAGGAGGCTTGGGCCGAGACGGAGAAGGCATCGCAGAGCCCATTAAAGTCAAGGAGCAGTTCTCCAGAGAGGGCTTAGGTATGGACAGGGACAAGTTGGGGAGCCAGCTTAGCAAACGGGACATTGAAGACATAATCCGCAACTATGTCAGCTCGGACCGACAGGATGACCTGCGCTTCTCCACCGACTTGACCAACGACGAGCGCAAGCAGATCCACCAAGTGTCTCAAAAGTACGGCCTACGGAGCAAGTCGTACGGACAGGGCAGGCAGCGCTTCCTCATCGTCAGTCGCAGAGTGGACACAAATCAACTGATTGGCCAGCTCCTGCAGGAAGGACAAGTGGGCCGCTACGAACTTGTCAAACCTCAGGCTTCGCACTAGTTTGCATGGCAACTCCAGCTGCCAACTTTCACTACAAAACAAATCAGAGTGCAACAAATCCACGTTCGTGATTTGGACTCTTCAGATAAAGCCTGGAAGCTTCCTGCATTCCTTTCCCAAGAAATGTCTCAGATCTTTTACATTTGTTTCCACGACACCTTTACTTTCATGTCAGCTTGTGCCCAGTGTCTTGACGAGTCATTATTTCCTTAGGCACCAAAAGTTTGAGAGACTATTTCACTGTGTGTAAAACATGAAATGCTCATCGATTCATCTAACAATGGGACTGTGGAACCATTAATCTGATGGGAGTTAAGCATTTTTTGGGGTGCAACACTCTCCGTTATGGTAGCACTTTCCATGGTTATTGTACATGAGCTTCGTCTACATTAACAAAGTGTGTCCCCAGACATGTCCGTGAATAAAATGAAACTGGCTTGACAGGGCCTAGCTTCATTGAATGGAAAGACCAGTAATGTATATCTTTTTATTTACAAGAAAATGTACATTTTGTTACATGGGTTACCAGTGCAAACTTTATCTAGACAAATCATCCTGTATGATCACTCCACTCTGACCACTGATTTATGTATGATTGTGAAGTAGATTAGAAATATCCTCAGTCTTTAAATGTCAGTATTTTGTTAATGAAACCAAGTGCCCAAATGGGGCATTCATGTCTTGTGTGTTGTACTCAAAACATCACATCTGAAATCCAGAAGGCAGTTTGTGAGAGGGATGAATCAATGTCCATTTCAGGTTAATTCTAATGCTTCAATGAAAAATATCAGTCCCACTTGAAAGGCTTTAAAAGGCAAAACAAAGCACGCTGAAACAAAAAGAAATACCAATAAATACATTATTTTTTTGTGGAAATAAGAACAGTAGGTGGTTTTACAGCAAGCACATAGTTAGCAGCCACTTTGCACAAAAAAGAGACAAGTAACCCAGATATAACAAGATACATTAACTTTTTTTAAACACCTTTAACCTGATGATGGCATTCGGCAGAAGTGAACGCCACAAACACGACAGCGTATAAACTTGGCAACCGACTTTTTTTTTTTTTTTTTGCAAGGGGGACAAAGCGTATACTGTGAGATGAGTTGATGACCCGGACACACTGTTCGTGGCGGGGACCACGATAATGATGACAGTGACGAGGGTCAACAATCGCGCCAACTCTGTTCAACGATAGCAGAAACTCTCTTCTCGTACTCTCGCTTGTTTTCCTGGTACAGCTGCGCCGCCTGGCTGTTGGCTGGACTGTTTGGGTTGGGCTCATCGAGTAAAGACTTCAGAAAACACAACAAGCATGTCAGTGGATCACAACAGCCAGCATCATAAATGTGGCATTTGCTACCTGTATTGACGTTAATATTGAAGACACATCATAAGTGGGACTCCAACGATTCTGAAGTATATCTAAGCATATGCTGCCATCGGCGTATACTGCAAAAAGGAGGAAACAAAGTGTGTTAACTATTGATGGTATAAGACTACTTCATTATATAATAATACAGCATAAGGACAACTGACCCCCACTGACTTACCATTAGGATGAAACATTTTAGAGACAAATCTCACTGTTGGAGGCTTATTTGGATATTCCTCTGTGAACTCTATGGTAAGTTTGAATGTTCCTATAAGATGGAAAAAAAACATCAGCACTGCAGAAAACTATCAAGGATAACTGCTAGGGCATCACAAGGTGATTTCCACACATAGGTTGAATTATTTTTTTTTGGGGGGGGGGGGGCCCACACTCAAGTACTACTTTGGCACTACAGTATCTTGTGGCATCAAAGTGACAATGCCTTACCAGTATTTCTGTGTGTTTTATTACCCAGTACCAAAAACAGTTATTTTTTTTAAGATCATGGACATGTAATCCAATAAACCAAGACTTCTATTATTCAAAGTGAGGATCCTTTGTAGATTAATCAAGTACATTGACAAAACCTGAATAACTGTAGACGACTTACCATCTTCAAAAGGAGTTCCCTCTGGCCTAAAACAGATAAACAAGTTAGTGAGTTGTCAAATGTGAGAATCTTGTTTCATTATAGTTGAGAGCCAATTTACCCAAAAATGACAGCATTCCACACCATTATATTGTTTTCTGAGGGGGCCCCACTGACTCCAGCTGGAGGATCTTCTTGCAGCCTGACGAATTAGAGGCCAGAAGTGAGTTGATGTAACAATAGTGTCGTGATGGATCACACTATATTACTAGTAATCTATGGGTATTTTTTCGAGGTTTGGGTTTGACACGAATATGAATGTTTACTTTCAGTATCTAAAAGCACCACCTGAAATACTTACTGGCAAGGCGAACCTTGGCCGTACGCATCAGGGGCTAAAATGCTAACACTGGTATCGACGTAGGGTTTTTTTTTCAACATTTATAATGCACCCCGCCAGTATCTAACCTCGTTGACTTTACACTTTAAACAAAACAGCACCCTGACAAAAGAAAGAGTTGCTCGAAAACACCAGATAATTTGATGACAGCGAGTAAATATAACAACCCTCACGGGGTAGCCCTCGGGTTGCTAATGTTAGCTTTTAGCTACTTGCCTTGTTTGCGTCTCCCTTACCGTTTAAAATCTCTCATTAAACGTCGTCTCGCCGGAGTTGACATCCTGCTCACGCTTGAATGTACGTATCGGGGGCACAGGAGACTGAGCTAAAGTCGAGGGAAGTGTGTTTTTTAGTCAATGTAAGTGATTAGTTTGTACACTAAGCTAACTCGACGCCGATTGTTAGTTTGTCAAATATTTGGCTGCCTACGGACACAACCATAAGTATTAGAAAGGGGACACTGTTGCCATGTGGCCCAACTTTACTGACTTATACATAGCGATAACCGAGTAATTTTCTATCCTGGTGTGAGTGGATACACGGATGTTAATGTATATGCGTGATAAGTGTAATATCGTCTTACTGAAAGCAACCGCATTTGATGCCGTTCGCCGCACAAATGGAACATTCCAGAAACGATTACGTCATACGTCAACCGCCCATACTTCATGTTTGCATACTTGCATTTTCTAAGGCTTTATATATGTACACCTCTTTAAGATTATTAAACTGTAATATAGTTTCTTTTTTTCATGCTTCACTCGCTTTAAATACAGCGACGTCAGCCGAAAACAGCTATCACGGAATTATATTATTACTAGTGGCCACGAGATGGCGTGCTGCTCCACTCGTTGGCGTTTACAGTCTGTGGGCACCAAGGCAAAGAAAAAGGCACCACACTTAACGAAGTGACTTTTGTATCTCTTTTTCGCAACTTGGGGATGAGGGTTCGATTCCGAGTACGGGCTCCGCATTTCGACGACGACACCACAGATGCTGAACACTAGTCGATTTCCATCAGGGTGTATATTAAGACACACCTGCGTTGACATAAAAAAAAACCCCAAAAAAGACAAACACGCCTTCTTGTGTGTCGAGTGAAAACGTAACGATTCACTTTTTTTCTGCACTTCATATTCCCCGAAATCGTGTTCACTCACTTTTTTGCAGACAAAAAGAAAGAAAAAAAAACTTTTCGGCACGGAGGGACCAATCGCTTCCCAGGAAAATGTGACTGCTCGGAATTCCCCACGCATTATTGGAGAGAACGTCAGCGTTGTGCCAGGCAGGGAGCCGCGGCAAGAGGTTTCAACCGCTGCCCGCTCATGTCGCCTCGGCTCGCCCTCTGTCTCGGGATAATGCTGTTATTTTTCTTATTTTTATTACCAAAGACGGGAGCGTCTCAGTAATCATCCTCTCCGAAGGGTGAGTGTTCATATTACCCATATTTCGCAGTTGTAATGTAAAAAGTGCGTGTTCCCATTTATTGCGTTTAAATGCGGCTGTTAAGGGATTGGGTCTGCTAATGGGATTAGGCTGGATGACATAACAACAAATGATTCCTAATAAGAGACATGGTCTAAAGTTCATCCAATTTTAATCATATGATGTGAGTGCTTGCTGTTGCCTGGTTACATGCGCTGCTGTAGACCAGTGGGTCTCAAACTTTTTACACTAAGTAGTGTACCACATAAAAAAAATCCTTTTCTCTTTCAAGTACCACCAGTGTCATGACAACATGAAAATACAGGAGCATAGTGGACCCAAGTGTTCATAAAAACAAGAAAGAGATTTTATTCATTGAAAGTATATTTAATATTATCCTAAACCACAGTGACACGATACTGTTTGATTTCTCCAGTGTCTAATTGTCATCAATTTACCCGGTGAAATGTACATTAATGCTGGCATTTTGCAATTTACTAAACATCCTTTTGACTGACACTTCACATATTCCAACAATGTTTTCTCAATCACTAGCTTGGGCAAATGACATGGGTTCGCTTAGGCTATTGACAACTGGAGGATTGTGTGACATTGTGATGAAAAGGCCTACCTACAGTGTAGGTAGGCCTGTACAACCTGCGACTTGTGCGGTATTGACAGCATTTAATCATTAAAAATCTGCATTCAAATTTGCAATGAAAAGATAAAGGTTCTCCATCTGTGACAGTCACAAACCCAAATTTCAGTATCAGTCTTCCAGTTTGTGACGTGTGTGTGAGTGTGTGTGCGTGCGTGTGCGTGCGTGCGCATGTGTGCAATTGATAATTGATAATGACGAAAAACCTGTAAATGTTGAATATCATGACCTACCTACTCTCGTCCAATTCAGTCCGTGAAAATATAAAAATGATTGGCACAAATTTGGGATTTGATTGGCATTAAAGTTGAGCTCCTGCAAGGAAAAAACATTGCCACGTCAACAAAACCAAAAATATTGCGATGATCGCTCATATATTTTTACCGTCTGAACTGGACAAGAGTAGGAATGTACATATTAATGTTGATGGTGATTGGTCACCATTTTCATACATTTAGCAACGCTTACGTTTTGTTAGACTCCAGGGGCAGGCAGGCTGACAGTTGGCGATGGCTTACACCACTACAGCTGTCGAGGCAGCAATTAGAGTTTGGCTGCTCAACAGACGAGGTTAGCGGGAGATTCTTACCGGCCAGACATGGGGCTCCAGCCGAGTGTGGCCGCTTTCGATGCATCAGATTCGAGTGGTGTGGGTGCACTCCCTGGAGGTGGACTTGGAAAAAAATAAGTCAAGCTAATACTTATAGATTGAAATCGAATTTATAACGACCTATGAACAATTAAGCTTATGAAAAGCCTCTCAGAACGCATTGTGTTTGCAGCCCTTAGTGATGGAAAAAAACGGATCCAGCATGCGAGAGACTGCATGTAAACTGCTCATTTCCTCATTCCCTAATAAAGTGATTAGCCATAGAGAGTCTAATCAAGGCAGCGTGATGGTCGACTGGTCAGCACGTTCGCCACACAGTGCAGAGGTGCAGGGTTCGATTCCAGCTCCGGCCTTCCTGTGTAGAGTTTGCATGCTCTCCCCGTGCCTGTGTGGATTTTCTCCGGATACTCCGGTTTCCTCCCACATTCCAAAAACATGCATGGCAGTTTGAATGGAGCACTCTAAATCGTCCCGAGGTGTGATTGTGAGCGCTCATGGTTGTTTGTCTATGTGTGCCCTGCAATTGGCTGGCAATCAGTTCAGCGTGTACCCCACCTACTGTCCAAAGACTGCTGGGATATGCTCCAGCATGCGCGCGACCCTCATGAAGATCAGTGCTCCTCACCTAACAATATCCTTCGACAAATAATGTTGCCATATTGTACTGAGCAGCCAGGAAAGAAAGTACGCAACTGTGTTGCAAGTTCCATTTTCTCTCTGTTGTGTTTAGCATGTATGCCTCACACCTTTGTGTTCGTGTTTGAATTTTGACCCCTGGCCTCTGTGGGGTTTTACATGTTCTGTGGCTATTCAGTCTTGCTTCTCCATTCCAAAACGCTTGTTATCTTAATCGAAGACTCTAAATTGTTCATGTACGTGAACGGTTGTTTGTCTATATGTGCCTTGCGATGAGCCAGCAACCAGTCTTGGGTGCCCCTTGCTTCTCACCCAAAAGTCAGCTGGGATAGGCTCCATCTCACCTGTGACCCTAATGAAGGGCACCCAGTAGAGAAAATGGTTGGATGGTCATCATCACATCAACCCTTTTTATTGTGACTGGCAGTCTGTGTTTCTGTGGTATAATCTTTGCATACTTGTTTTGTGTTGACATTGAATTTGCTCACAGTTAATATTCAGTGTGTCTTATTGACATTGCCATCTTTGCTTAAAAACAAGGTGGCCACAAGCACCTTATGGGTTTCTCCAGTTGCTGTGTGAGTATTTTGTTGCCTAAAAGAGGCACGTTGACTTATGTCACCATGTCATGAATCATTAGATAATCATTACAAAATTTCCCCCATCAGGACAGTAGTAGCAGATTTTATGTGATGTGGTGTAAAAGCACAGGTCCTTATGGAAGGCCGCTGCCTTCACATGATGTCACCCTCTTTGCTTCATTTTTTGCCAAGATAGGATTTTAGAGGAATGTGAATAGAAAACCTCTATGAACGTCCTCGGTTTTATTTACTTACTTACAACATTGCTGTACAGTACACTATTCTGTGTGGGATCTATACGAGTTTCCCGGGGAGTCTCAAATGTTTCCCAGATGTTTACATTTTTGGCCAAAGATGTTTTTGTCATGGGACGCCCGACCTCATTGGTCTCCAGATCCCTTCAGAGAAGGCGGCAGTGACGCTGGTGGTGGGAGGGGGAGACCGAACGACAGACAACAATCCCCCTTAGTGCTCCCTCCTTCCGTCCAGTTTTCCCATGGTGGGATCGCTGGGTGAGGGATAATTGGAAACTTCAATCCACTGAAAGCAATTATCCCTACAGAGAGTTTCCAAATATACTCCAGCGAAGTCTCGCCCACTGCCATTTGTTTTTACACCATCCCACCATGCTGTTGCCATCTGATATGCTCATCGGTGTGTTTGTGTATGTGCAGATTAGAGAATGCGTGGCTTCCTGGCAGCCTTCTTATCCCGTGACAGCTAAGTCACTCCTCCAGTGTGATCCTGCAGAGCAAAGACTCTGCCCTTTTTTTCATTGACCAAAGCTCCTCGGGCCTTTCTTGTCCTGCTTGTCTGAAGTCTGCTCGGCCTCCTTAATAGCCCTCCGCGTATCGATCGGGCCACATAAAAAAGACAAACTGAGCTCACAAGCTATTTAGAAGGCAGCACTGCTCAGGTTTCAAAAAAGCTTTCACAACAGTTCAGTCACAGAAGAGAACAATATGTTCAAATGCATTCCCTTTTTTGTGAAGTTTCCTTTTGGGGAATGATGTGGAAAATTTGCGGCATAACACATTCGGTTGTCAGAAGAAGTCGCCTCACTTACCTACCCGAAGCAACACCCAGTTTTCCCTCCTATCTCAGTTAAGTAGTTTGCTGGATGCTTGACTGCTCAACCTATCCTAGTCATCCACCCACCAATCTTTCTGACTACAGACGTACTGAATTCTAAATAAATCCTACATACATACTGTAACTATGCTAACTACCACACACAACCACACACCAACCTACCTCCCTTTTCCACAGACCCTATAAAAACTCCTATGTGTCCTGAGTATATGAGATATAATAATACTAACAGTCTGTGGTCATTACTGTAGTAGGTTACATTTATTTCCCTTCAGGACTGCCGTACTCTGTCATTTGACACCTGAGTCGTAACCACAAGGTGGCAATGTTCATAACGCTTTGACTCCACCGTCTCACGAGATGGCCAATTCAACCAATGACATGCACTCACAATTGCAGGAACCCACTTGCGAAAAAGAGAAACAAAACTCTCTAACTTCCCCTTTTGTTGGTTAAAAAAAAAACAATTGTCGCTCGCTGTAGCGCATTCCTGTCATCTGAAGCCTCGTTGGGGGAACTGCTGCTCTAGAGAGTTCCTTTTAATGATGAAAGCTGAATTCTACCACATCAGACATGCTGTAGGCCACTGCTGCTGCTGCTGCTGCT